AATACCACTTGCGGGATACGCCCACATATTCGACTTCCGTACTTGATAGTGGTGGCCATCTGGATTGTACATATGTGACCGACACAATGACTTGAGGTGGTCAGCGGATGTACAGACACGTGTTTTTATCCTCCCATATGGGTTCTGGAACTAATTACGTGACCCCGAAGGGTGGAACTCTTACTGCCTGGGTGAGTATCAGCTGGATTAATCCTAGCCAAAGTTGTGAGAGGTGTTAATTAGTACTATGATTCTTAGTTTCTTCCCCACTACCCTATTTTGTTGGAAATCAACTAATTCGATTAGAAAAAAGTGAGTGACTGACGGGGTCGCTTTACCCTAGCCAACACTTTTCGCCACATAATCATTTTCCCATTGAGATCCGATATCGTTTTGCTTGTAAGAACCCTTGTAACTTTCAAAAGCTACCATGTGGTTGAGCCTTCCAAATATAGTTTGGATGTAACGACAAGTACATTCGAACGCGTTCGAAGAGAGGAGGGTAAATGGACGTCCTGCTTGCCACATGCGTCTTGAGCACGAAAATTCGATTTTGCTAACTGGTAATTGCTGTTTAAGTATACTACAGATTCCATGAAGCCGATTAGAATATTCACTGACGGGATTTAGAGGGGTAATAGTAAAAAGTCTGCATGTCCAAATCGTGCTAAAGCTTCCTCCATGTAAGGAGTTCCGGTTGTTTTTCTTGAAAACGTCGGATTACTTCATGATGAATTACTGCATTGTCAAGAAGGCGAATGGGTATTATGCCCAGCTCATCNGCGAGTAAGTCCGAGAACAAAAGCAGTTTTGAGTAGTGATATTCCTGATTGTGTGGGCATCATGTTTGTCACTGAAACCCTGCTGCTCATGAACATCATTACTCGTACTTTATCAGGGCGGAGGGGGTGTACTGGCAAGCGGCGCACGCGCAATTACACGTGCGTCCAACCAAGTCTTGCATCCCTCCGGGTCGGGCAATGTATACCAGACTCGTCTGGGAGGATGAAAGCATCAATTTTTACAATGGGTGACCACCTTCAAGCATTGTACGAGCCACACACGCATTCAATACGCCGCTACGATTCTGAATGGAAGTCGGGTGCGATGGCGCATCCTTCACACGGGATTGATTAACGTCGAAAGACTTCATCCTTCAATCCCTAACTAGCCATTCAGGCGAAATCGAACATACCGGACTACTCAACCTGCATTTACCATTTTCATGGCCCACAATATCAAGATTCATCATAAGATGAGTATCCGAATGAGTTATACACATAATTAAGAGAGCATTCTCATGCAAGCTTTGAAAATCTTCGAGTGAAGGAGGTCGGACGAGTCTCGTGGGTCGTCATGAGTGGGCGATCGATGAAATAGTTTATGATAGTCATGTCATGCATTCATCCAACTCCCTGATCCTATAGTTTATACTCGAAGTGCGAGGCATTTTGAGGGTCTTTTTCGGGTAATAAGCAATGAATAAGGATCTGCGGAATCAATCGGATCGTTTTGATCAGAATTGATTGGATGAATGTCAAAGTAAGAAGTAGCTGCCTACCATAATTGTGGCAGTACTTGAGCAGTTCCAGTCTACTTTTCCACGTTCTTTCTTTTGCTACCAGTCCTACCTGTGAAAAGAGTTAACGTCATCATGTTTCTGGGAATCCACTCTAGCTTTTGGTCTACCATTTACATTATTTGTGATGATCCCTTGAAAGTGAATTTTCTTTCAACAGAGGGAATTACCTTCTTCCATAAATGTTTGTTTTTCTTTTCTTAAGAGGATAGAGATGAGGGTTCCTCATTGCTACTTCGCCTTGTAATTGCAGCACGGTTTGAAGGTTCAAATGTTTCCTAAGAATTTGTTTTCCTACCTATATCCATCGTACATTCAAAACCATCTTCGGCTTAGCCATAGTTGCCAAAGAAAGGATTTTCTGTAATGTAAAACCCCTTCTAAACTCGTACTTTCGAGCGGCTATGAGGTTTTGAACCAATCACTGGATGTTAACTTTTTTTGGCAACTGATTCCACTTGTTAGTCATCGAATTTAGCCTAAATATTTTACTTATGTGACTTATGTGATGTAGAGGAATACATGTACTCATTTTTATTTTTTTACATGCCTGTTGAGTTTCATTCGCCGGATCTTGAGCGTAACTACTTTCTTATCAATCCGAACAAATCTTGACCAACCGATGTGAGGTTGACTCGATTATGTCGTTGATGTTTTACTTCACTGTGTCGTTAGAGCGCACCACTGCGTGCATCAAAATAAATAAATAAATAAATTTTTCCATTTAGTTATACCTTCATTCATTAAAAGGCGATGACACTAGGATAGGAGCTGATGGGAAGTCGGCTTACAGCATGATCGTACCTTTTCGTTCTTTTTAGACATTTCTATGTCTATGATTACAAACGGGCCTCCAGCGAGCTCATAAAACTCATTGACGGAGCTTTTATGGGCGTCTAGCAATAAGAACCAGGTCGTAGACACTTCATGGTTAATGACTAATTCGTGCACTTCTTAGTCTTAGATTTGAAATAGCAATCGGCACGTCCTGAACAATGGTCAAAATTATGAGGTGATTAGGGTTGAGGTTGAAGTTTGAAGGGTGAGGGAGCTGACTGGTAATGTTAGAATATTTACATCATAGGTTAGGCTCTCAGGCTCTCCGGAAAACCCGTTTTCGCCCTGGCAACCTATTCTTCCTCAGTAGGAAAGCTATATTCATGACGTCATGTAACCCGATAATTGTTCTCCTTTTCCTTTTTTCCCTTTTTTCCTGATCGATATCTTCACAACGAGGAACTGATGCGGTAATGGGGTGTGAATTAATCAATTTTTCCACACCATTTCATTTTACTGGCTAGAAATCTCATGTTTCCCCATATCTATTCAGTCATTCGTTCCTCAATGAATCCCATAATTCTGTGGGTTTCAATATATTCAATATTATCTCCAACACAGATTTATTTCTATTTATTTTTATTCGATACTTATTTCAGAATTATCCATGAGATGGATATTCAAGAGCCAGAGTTCACCAGCGAACAAGTGCGAAGTGTGTTGTTCACTCAGGATGCGGGAAACCAATGTGAGCTTCTTCCCATATGATTTGCATTGTTTATCAGTATGCATGTGGACAATTAGGATCACTGTCTAGACGGACTACTTCAGCCTTTGAGGCGCAGACCCGACCACATTACTTTGCCCTGCATTCGAAAACCACATTTCGGCTGTGCCTTCCCAGAGAACGCTTACGAAATGGAACCGCTTTCTCCCAGACTTTCCTTGTCACTAATCAGATCCTTAGAGAATCCTCGTTCTTCCAGGAAAGCATTCTACAGCCTAAATGTCTTGGGCTTTTTCCCCCTCGCTTTCGTATACTTACAGAATCAGCACCGAACCCGTCCTTGCGCAAAGACCTATACATGAGGGCTCAGTGATGGGAATCCTGTTACCTAAGTAAATACCGATATCAGTAGGCCGCTATAAATCCCCTAGTCTCCCTTCTATCAAGTCCCTAGCTCGCATGCTGAGTAGACTTCAATGGTTTCAATAGAAAGGAAGTCCAGAATATGACCATATCCGCTTCGTAGGCATGTACATTTTTTTCCTTTGCTCGTTCCATAGCTTCATTACGTGCTCTTGTGAATTTCAAATAGATTGCTTGTAATCTGGCGCATTTCAAAAAAAAAAACGGGGAAAGCGGTTCCATTTCATGAGCGTTCTCTGGGAGGGCACAGCCGATATGTGGTTTTCGTATGCAGGGCAATGTAATGTGGTCGGGCTTGCCCCTCGTAGGTTGAGGTAGTCCTTCTAGACACTTATCTACATTAGAGGGCATGAACGTCAATTGTTGGTTCCGAAGCAGAGTCCTAAAAGCATAGTAGCTTTCCTTTTGAGAGCTCTTTTCACTAAGGCTGAGCCGGCGGAAAAGAATCAGTGTTGCATAGGGATAGCTCATGCAAAGTCAAAAGTTAATCGATCGTGTTGAAGTAGTGGTGGTTTTTGGGAGTAATATATTTCTGAGTCCAAGCAGACTCAGCAACCCAGACGGCCCAGATGGGATGTTTGAAAGACCTTTTTACCAACGGTGACTGGTCGGGACATTGACCCGTAGGTACCCTCTTTTGTTGCTTTGATATGAAACCATGGGTGCCGTTCAAGCAAACCATTTCGATACCCTTTGCATTACAAGCTGCCCCAAATCCTCGCTCTTACGACGGTTTTTTGGCTTCAGTTTTTAAATGCCGGATCGCTACTGATACCAACCAAACCTTCATCCCTTCGGAGTCGGTTTTTCGGAACCAGGTTCATCTGGGAGGATAAAAGCAATGGCTCGCGCATTTCCTAACCACCACAAGTCGCTCTGTAGGCTACAGACGCAATCAAAACGTCACCACGTTTCTTAATGCAAAACGAATGCGGGGCTTACACCAAAGACACTGGGACTAACTAGCGTTCATAGTCTCTATATTTTTATCCTTTATTCTGCTCAGTTCGACACGTAAAAGGGTTCTCTCTTCTGGAAAGCCTCTGCAATGCTAACTTGCTCTCTAATGGCTTGGCTACAGGTACATACCCTTAAGCTGAACATATGTATAATTCACTTTCGATTGTGAGAGATAGCCCTTCTTCCAGTTCACTCTTTTGTTTCGATAGTACTGAGATATTCATGTTCAACGAATGGAGTTTGTTCCTCAAAGTCTTTTCGTGCATCTTTAGGTAAATTAATAACTCAGCGGCCTACATCAACTTCCATAGCCCCATCCCAGCATCATGAAGAGTTGTTCTTTGCTGTTTTAAGAGATAGCTCTTGATCGATTAACTGATTAGATGTACGACGGGGAGCAATTTCACTGGCTTGGAATGGGATCTCTAGAATCTGCTGGCATGAAATGGGATTTCTGAGAATCTCAAAATTCCACCTTTTTTTCCTTTGAGTATTTTCAAAGGTGGTTACAAAATACCTCTTCCATGATTTCTTCGTTCCAAGTGCAAACAAAGGAAATAGTGAGTAATTGGGCGTTGGGTGGGGGGGNGTCAGCCTAATAAAGCTTGTTTACAAACCTCGTGAAGAGTTCAGAATAGCAATAAACTCTTTTCATAGTCTCTCGATTTTTTAGCGGATTTCTCATTAGGCTGCTTTCCCCCAGATGTAGGCTAATTATGTTCGGAATGTCCAATAGCAATATGAGATTACAGGGGGTTGTTTTGAGCGTTTACTCAGCCAAGTTTTGAAGCTTCAGATTGTTGTTGAACGCCGTTTACGACTTATGAGTAACACGAGTAGAAATGCAGTAATATAATCACAATTTCTGAATGCCAGGGCATGCCTTTAAGCCCTCATACTACCGGGACCTCGCTTATCTGCGCCTTCTTGCCCTGCCCAGAAAGCCCAAGTACCAATTGGAGTCCAGTCCGAGGCTGAAGTTCTGCCCTTAGATCACTAACCTTGCGGGCCAGGAGCCAATTTAAGTACTGATATCAATGGTGTTCAATATTTTCAGTTCACATATTGAGTCGAACGGTGCAGTCGATATGTACGACGGGCTCCATTGGCGGTTCCTTCGACTACGACCAAACATGGATATGCGCTCTGTGAGTAGGATTTTCCCAGATTCAAATCTTTCAACTCAATTTCCAAAGTCCAAAAATAAGGCAAAATTTCTGAAGTGTTCGGGAGGATATGGCTAAAATCCGCAGATTGAAGTTAAGTGCAATAAATGGTACTGATGGGATTGGGTAGATGTTTACCCTTGCCAAAATTACCACTGCCAACATTTGAGTGGCAAAATCAGTACCTACACCCAGCTTCACCTCCACTTGTTTGGTTCGAACAGGGCTATTAGTTGTGAGGATTTTGTTTTTGCCGTCTATATTACTAGCCATTCACTGACTAGTAAGCTAGTTGTCAGTAATTAGTGAAGTGAATGACGCTTGTCAATTCTAATTGACCGAAACCGCCTTTCAAATTTTTCTTTGGGCCCTTAATTGCTTATTTGGCAGCCAAAGCTCATGTCAAAGTTGTCGGAAAGAACGTCAACTTTTTCTCCAGACTTTACCTCAGGACATTCAGAAAAGGCAGATTTGACGTATTCACCTTTACTGCAAACCATTTTGGTGGGAAATGGTAGCGACCAACGCAAAATTCGGGGTTAGCAACGAATTACAGCAGATTATTGCTTTCCTCGAGAAGGCTGAGTATGGGTTTTGGTCCTCACACTTAAAACTCACATTTATGCTTTATGGGAGGTCGTATATTCTGCCCATAACTTATCGTAATCCACTAAACTAGCGGGACCTCATGCAAATTTTCTCAGTTTCTCAGGCTGGATATACCGTATCTTGGCAACACATAAAACGTCCAAAGTAGTTAGTTAATTAGCCGATTCCTTCAGTGAACTATGATCAGCTTTGACTTATATTACATGCTTCGATTTACATAAGTTAATTATGTGAATACAGGGGAATTAGTGTTGAATAAAACAAAACTGGACCTTTCGTCACTTTTTACTTCACGACGAGATCAGCTACCCTTTTTCTTGCTTTAATTTCACGGAACGTCGGCCATGAATATGAGGGTTACAGATTCCATCTAGGGATAGAATGTCATAGAACGTTTATGCCGGGGACGTTGATAATTTTCATCAAATGCAACGGAACTGCTTCAGCAGACTTATTCTATAGCGTTAGGGTATCTGAAGTGGAAAGGGGACAAATGGTCAATGCTGTGAGCAAAACTTCGAATGCCGATGTGCTCTAACTTCCGTCAGCCCTCAGTATCTCAGCAGTCGTTGACAAGAGCCCCTGAGCATTTTCGAAACTGTGTAGAAGTTAGGAAGGCAAGGAGAGACACCGTTTTATATATGACAAAGTGTGCAAAGTTACGTGCTCATCCACAACGTGATTCTGAGAAACTCGAATGCGCAGCGCATCCGCGAGAAGTGGATCATACCTTAGTCGTTGATACCTTTCACAATCCATTTGGAAACTAGATCGGTGAACGGTCTAGCACTGACCAAAACATTTTTTGGGTTTTGTGATTCATATGATTTGAAAACCGAAGATATTTTGAGGTAAACGTTGTTTGTTAACTGCCATGACCATGGCAGATCTGGTAGGGAGTATCTACCCTTGTTTTCATATACTTTTCGTTCATCTCTACAGAGCGCTTCTTGCTTCTATCTTTGGGCAATTTCGGCTTTGAAGAACTTGCAAATTGGAAGTGATTGTTTACGAGGCCAATGTTTTCAGATAGTAAGGACAATGTAGTAAGGAGATTATTCAAAGTTTCTATCAAGGGTTTTTCTGTTTATCGTTCTTTGATCGCATAATTTTGCTATAATTTTCGCTAATCGTTGAACGTTAACAAGAATTCAAACTGCAAATTTATATTAATTAGCTATTGTTATAGGTGTTCGAGAGCTTTCTGAGATTGGAAATGAAGGATATGAATTGCTATTTTCACACAAACAAAAAGGTCTTCGGATTTCTTTTGGACAGGTTTCAGCGGCCCAACTCTTTAGATTAATCAAGGGAATGTGATAGTGAGGTGGATAAGTCTCGCCAGACTTCTCACTACCCCAGGCAACATAATTTATTTACGGTACCATCCTTTCTGATAGACTGGCCAGTCTTTTCTCAGCGGGTTCATCTCATTAGCTGAGTGCATTTACCCACAACTTCGTTCACGTGATTCGGAGTTGCATAGGAAGTAAAAGATTGAAAAGAGATGGGGGCGGATGGCACAAGGAGGGCAACTCATTGGATGTGACATGGGATTCGCATCGATTCCGCTGTCTAGGAGCCCCCGTGAGCCGACCATGGTAAAATAATGGAAATGCTCGGAAACACAAAACTGCGACAGCAGTTTCTATCCATGTCAGATTTGATTTAGTCATATAGTCATGTACATATATCGCGCCTCATCGTGCAAAAGTAGAAAACGAAAAGCGTTTGACTCAGTTCTGGAAGGGAAACGAATTAAAGAAAATCTGAAAAGGAAACACACAATGGTTCTGAAGGGACTTTTATAAAAAGGAGGGACGAGACGTCGAAAAGGTTTACTTTGAGTTTCCGAAAGAAGTACTAGGTCGAATAATAGGAATCAATTTGAAGAAAACGATAGTGGTGGATAAGAGATAAGTGGGAAAATCCGCCAACAGGCGGAAACCCTTAATTTCAAGGGTGCCTCTCGTTTCGAATGAAGTTTCCATAGAGGAAGCATTGAGAATATGGATTCGTTACTTTTTCCTTCCAATTGAGTGGGCAAAACCTGATTACAGTTGAGTTGGCATAGATGGGTAGTTGAAAGAAGTGTTAAATAATGATCATTACCGGTAAAACCTGAGCGGCCATGGTTCCCTGGTGCCTTCTCCTGTTGTCACGATATTTGTAGGTAGCGTGTATTGATGATGCATGGAAGGAATTGATAAGGGCTGATAGAATTGTCTGTAACAAAAGCTCCTTTGGTTTCCTTCCAGAAATGAAATTTCTTCACCAGGGTTCCTCACAAAAAGATGGGTGTAGAAGGCCGCGAGCTGGGTGGGGTAGGCGCATTTAGGTAGTGCGGCATAAAAGGTTATAACAGCCGATATCTACTGATAAGCGCTATGAAAGCCAGCTTTGGCATCTTTGACCCATTTGTAGTGACAATTTAGTTTCGATGCCAGCAAATCGTTAATGTGACAGGATGAAAAGAACGAGTGAAGATGAATTACGAAAACTAAGATAGCATTTTCGGCTTTTTGTTCTGCACCACAGAAAATATTTGACCACCAACTGCTTAATGCTTGATGACAAGTTTCCGTATACTAGTTGGATTGCTCATTTTAAGTTCGTAATTCAAACGTGATGTCTGTAGTTGTCCGCACTTCATCCCCCAATTAGTATGCGAAAAATAATATTCCCGTCATCAAATTACCTATCATCAATCATTCTCGCCCACTAGGATGGATGAATTACAGCTTACTTCTTATTGGAGTAAGTTGATCTCCAAAAAGTTCTTCGGAGTCATCGACCATTTCCTCGTTCTGAGCCGGAGGCCAAGATCATAAATCGGATTTCGGTTACGGTAACGTGGGTGACAATGTCGAAGACGTTCGGGCCGACCGAATTTGATTAGTCGCTCTTTTTTCAGCATATCGCCTTGGGGTTTATAATCCTTGGACAGATATGCACTGCGACATGTCAGCGATCATTTTTTTGAATGGCACAGAATCACTGCTAATGCCCATGGACTATTGTTGGCCATGGCTGCCACCAAACGCGATTGGGTAAAGCGAAGAGTCTCCGCAAACTATCAGTCACAGAACTTGAGAAAAACCGAAACTCTGCTAGTCAACATGCCCGTTCAATGGCTCTTCGCTAGGATAATTTGTAGTTAATCCCCAGAACAAGCACTTATTTTTCGAGCAGATTTAGGGAATGATGTGGTCCTTATTCAGCCTTTTCAGCTAATATAAGCTGATTACAACAAAAGACATTCATATGGCAATGCCCTTTAGCTGAGATACACATGTACTTTTAGTTTAGGACGCAAATTGGCCGCTTATGACGTTCGTCGTAATCGGACGACCATCGAGGGATTCAGTTTTCGGTGGCTCAATCCATGTTGTGAGCAAACAAGCAAGCGAACAATCTTTGAGCAGCACTGACTTACCGACACCGCATTCTGAATTCACATCACACATCCCCTTACCTCTAGAGACATTCTAAAAAAGAAAATAAAGCTATGAGTGGATTCGTTTTCATTTGAGGTGCATGCTGAACACCGTGCAGCATCGGCACGTAGCCATCGCACGGCTGTCCCATCCGACGAATCTCGGTCGAACAATGCAGGACCTTCGATTCATCATCATTGTCATCGCACCAAGTCGGGCGGTAAGGCTTATAATTTTTGCTGAATTTCTACTCCTTTCTTATTCCTTTCCATACAGAGCACTGTGGTGTTTAATGAGCAGATGTGAACCAGAAAAGGACAAAAAAATTTGGAATTCCACGTGGAATAGCGGCTTCTAGGTGTTTTGCATACCCTCTTAATACAGTGACATGCAGGAGCAGCCCAAGTAAAAGTCTGGGCCACTAGTATAATATAATAAGACAATAGTCCCGTAACCTTGTTCCCAAATCACTTAGCAGAATTGGAATACAGATTTGAGATCCACCACCTACANTTAGACGAATACTGAGGGATGGATGACCTGGGTAAGCCAGACGGGCACTAAGAATCAATCTCTTAACCATGTGTGTAACAGTGGGATCTCCGTCCTTCCTATTGCTCCAGAACTATGAGTATTAGTAGAGAACTGCAGAACAGCAAGCGTGGCAGACCAGTATGCTGTGTCTGCTCATTTGTTCAATGATTATACATATGCAAATACCCTTCGTCACGGTTAATCCTCTTCTGGGCTCGAAGTATATTATGGGCCGTGGTAGTCTTCGCAAGCTTTTCAGAATGTTACAGATTAGTAGCTCGTCTTGGTTAACAATTTTGGGGAAATAACGTTTTTTGCCTGTTACCCCGAATTAGACGAAAGCGCAGATTGGGAAAGTGGCTGATTTGGCTTGGGTTGCTTAACTCGTTACTTTTGCAGAAAGGCACGAAAACCGCGTTGGAGACAACTCGCACATTCGCCACACTATTCGCTGATATGGAGATCCGGCAGCGACTGGTGATGGCTCAGTCCGTTGAAGCCTTCAGGTGAATTAGCTAATCGATGTCTGCTACTTTGGCTGAGGAAAACAGCTCCCAGATTGTGAACAGGCCTTCATTGCATCTGAAGCAATGGGGCATACACATTAGGATTTTTGATGAATGCTTTCAAAAGGATCAGGCTAAGTACACTGACTGGTAAATTTGGCCCAGCACTGAAAATTATCAGAAAAAAATGAGAAAAATTGTTCATCTTCAAAGTTCTTTAGAGAAACTAAGTTTGGCCCAAATTCAGATCCACTTTGCTGTCCGCCGCCAAGGAACTTGCCATGGACCAAAATCAATGGCGTGAACGTAAATCGTCCATTCATCTCAGTCAAGCAAAAGAACAAATTGTGAGTGCATAATTTTAGTTGAGTCTCTTAAGATCACTCTGCTAATTGGGAACCAGAAAATCTTAATGCGACCTCTTTACTTTCTGGTCGAAGGAGCGGCTTCCTCTTACTCTGAACCTTTTGTTTGCAGTTGCGTAGGTGTGTACTTGGAGGGTTCTTCGAGTTCCAGAGGAGAGTCTTGTGAGGCTTTCTCAAAATAAATTGAGCGCTCGCGGCCTGCGGCAATGTCCCGTCGAATCTTATTTTGTCTTCATCCCATTCCCCTAAGCCCATAAACACAACCTTGTACAGACATAACGGCAAAGGGAAGCGACAATTGAAGAATGAAAAATGATCTGGGCCGTTAGTTTGACTTAACGCTAGGTACCTAATGACCTTAACATTTATACTATTACCCTATGGTGGTAGGGCTCAGATGTAGCTTAACTTCCGAAGTTCTGTGTTTGGCATCAGATCCAGGATCGAAGAGTCTTTCGGTGTTAATCGATCCCAATTCTGAGTTGCGCCACGCATTCGATTAGCACTCAGAATTATTCGAATGCGTAAGTGCCTACACAAAGACTCGCAGTGGTCAGCAGATAAACAAATCAATTCTTTCATCACCCCATACGAGTGTGATACCAATTGACCGATTCCAGAGGGATCGAAAGCCTCGGTGGCTTGGGTGGATATCGATCCGAGATTCGATTCCCTACTCGTGCATGAGATAGGGCTCTATTGGCCACTGCGTCACCTCCTTCCTATTAGTATGTTTCGAGCGTTCGGCCACCTATGGAAAATGAACACAGAAGGGGAAGAGGCTGCCTCCAATGGAAGTCAAGCGTAGCTATAAGTTACGGCTAAATTATGCGGAAAATTCTAGGGTTCCGAGGTTTCAGCTGGAAAAAGCCACTCGTTCGGAAGGCGCTCATGGGTTATTGAGTCAGATTTTTAGCAGCGCGAATTTCCCGCTCTATAGAGAGTTCTGACACTAAAGAGATTCTACAGTCAGAATCTTGTTGGAACTAGTCTGATATCTGACTATCCCGTCGACCTTCCTTTCAAAGGTGCTCGATCCAGCCGTGAAGCTTGTTCTTTCAAGCTATGCACTTCTTTGCGGTATACTTCGACTATTAAAATCCTCGTGGATCGTTGCATAGAGGTAGCATATGGCTTAGCACCGCGGACAAGCTCAGCGATATCTAGACGGTAACTGTTTTGGTTCAGGGCCATCACAATATTATATGACCCTGAGGACCATTTGACCCTCAACGTTTCTCCTGTATGGGAGTTTTTATGCAGGAATATTTGAACGGCCGCTCCAGGACAAGGGATTAGGATAAGGTCACATAAATGAAATCAAAAGGAAAACGATCACTTCGAGGAGGGGACAAGTAAATAAGTAAGAAGCACTTTTTCAGCGAAGTAAGGGTAATTGCAAGGAGTTTGAATGTTGCCTATGAACAATGCTTGATATCGATAGAGTTGATTTTAGTGATTGCTATAGAAACCTGAAATATGAGTTGGCCAGCATCAGTAGGAATGTAGAATTTCTGAGTAAACCTGCGTGTAAGCTCAGTTTCCCAGTGCAAAAACTTCATAATAGTACATCCCTAAACTTAGATTTTTCTTTCCAATTGATTATTGTATATTTTTTTCATAATAATTTGTATTTTCAGTTCGGTCCGAATGCATGGTATCCGTTCCGCGGTTTATCTGAGGAATTTAAGCGGCGGTTAGCTGTATATCCGTCAGATTTCATTGACGGTGTAACTGGCCATCGAACGATGCAAAAACTTTTCTCGACAGTAGTATTTCTCTACTTTGCATGTCTTCTGCCGGCGATTGCCTTTGGAGTGCTCAACGACGACAACACGAATGGAAGCATCAGTAAGTACTATGAAATATCAAAACACAGGCTCTCCAGTCTATTATTCCTAACAACTGCTGCCCTAGAGCTGTCAAATTTCTAGAAAACTCAAAAGTAGTGTCTCCATCACTTTTGCGGCTCATATTGTATTGTAGACTCTTTCTCAATCTGTAAAAAAATAGGGAGCAGAAACCATCTGAAGCTGACCAGTTCTTCTGTGGAGCATCTTGCGATAAAGTTTCATTCCGAGTTTCAGATAGTAAGAGTGCTAGAATAGCGCGATTCCTGTGGGGTCTAATTAATGAACAGACCTTTTTTCTTTGCAAGTGTAATACCAGCTAATCTATATCTTTCACTGCTGGGATCTTTGATCTCGCTAGCGTTTCGAAAAAGTTCAGTGAAAACAAATTTTCACATCACCTGCTTGAGTATCACCTTCATTGATCATCGATTTCTTTGAGAGGGCGCCAGTAACGTCTTCATTGGTCCCTGTCGCCGAAGTAGTCGTGTAGTTTCTCCTCGTAAAGGGGACCCGAGGCATAACATTCCTTTCGTTCAAAGTTCCCGTGAAGGTGTTCAGTCATAGCACCTGCTTGAGCACCCCCAAGATTTGCACTCATTCAATGATACTGAGAAGTTAATCGCAATTGAGCACTCGCAAGTTAGACATATTCTACAACACCCGTTTCATATGATTCAAAAATGTCAAAATTCCTTGCTTGAAAATTGGTTTCAGATGTACGGAAAGTCATAATTGCCCAAGCTATCGGTGGCATCTTTTTCTCATTATGTGGTGGTCAACCAATGATCATATTGCTCACTACTGTTCCGTTAGCCATTTATATAAAAGGTAGGTTTTTTTGAGTTTGATACGTGATTATACTTTTTATACGATTATTTTTTAGTGATCTTCAAAATCTCTCAAGAACTTGGCTACGATTTCTTTGCCATGTATGCTTGCGTCGGTTTATTTTGCCAATTATTTCTTGTTCTATACTCAGCGACTGAGTTATGCAGCTTGATGAAGTTAGCGACACGGTAGGTGGCTCTGTCTCGGATTGTGTATTATTTTGTTTATGTTTACATAGTCTTATTACACTACCGAAAAATGAAGGAGCCAAAAACGACAGCTGTGATGTATCCCTATCAAGTCAGGGATCAGAGATTGTCAAATCATTCGGTGGCTTCTAAGGTTATAGCTTCGGAGGTATCCTGATTAGAGCCGCTCCCGCTACCGAATCATGCATCTTCCGGCGTATTGGATGTACTATTGGCCTTGAAAGGAAAGAAATACTCCACGGCTTGCTTGTCTGGGAAAAGGAGACGAGAGTGGGACATCTCATGCTTCTTTTTGCCTGCCTTATCCGGACAGATTCTCTATCAATATAGAATCGTTCCCATCGAATAGCTCAGTCTCCAATAACAAAGAGCACTATTTGATCAGCTTATTCAAATCACTAGGCGTGTTAAATTTCCTTTCAAATGAGTTCGGTTTAGAGGTTGAGCTTGAGTTGGGATTCGAGGTGTGTGGCCACCTTGAAGAAATCCACTAACTTCGTTTTGGGTTTTGTTTATCACTTCAAGTGTTTATATACAACGAAACGAGCAATAACTATATACTTTTTACTTTATACTTTACTATACTTAATATATACTTTTTGAGTATTCTCAACATTGTCTTCAATCTTTTTAGGTCTGCTGAAGAAATGTTCTCGTTGTTCATCGCCATAGCCTTCACTGTAGAAAGTATACGGGCCATACATAATAGTGAGTATTTTTGTAGTCATCCCAGTTCTTACGATTCTACTTGAATTTATTGGCTGCTTTCATAGTCCGCCGGCGTGCCGGCGTGCCGGCGGAGGCAGTTCTAGGGGGAGGAGGGAGGCAGACAGTGTAAGGCAAACAGTCCACGCCCCTTCGAAGGTTGNGGCGGACTATGAAAGCAGCCATTCTCTCCATGATGACATCTAATAAGATATCCTACATTTCAAACTACCATTACTTGAACTCCTTCATTTCGCCTTCTATCTTCGCATAAACTTAAACTCTCTAATGATACCTTCCTTTTTCTACGCACAGCAACCCTCAAAGGTATTCTATAAAATCATCATCGATCATAACTTTTTTATGCTGAATATGTATGATAATTCATGATGGCTTTTAAAATTGAGAATTTAGTATTCCTCAAAAACTACAGCGGATGTGACGCAACGAATGCCAACAGAGACAACTTGACCACCTTCAACAATACGTCTACGGTGCTAGAGGTAAGTCTTTTTCCTAAAAATCTCTGACTTATGCAGCTCCTACTTTCGAGCTAATCATCCGATTTCTCATCGAGATTTTTCAGGAGACCGGTGTACTTTGTCGACGTGACACCTCAATACTGTACATGTTGCTAATGTTTGGCACATTATGGCTTGGTCTATTTCTATATAACTTTAGAAAGGTAGGTATCAATGTTGTCAGATTTGCGTCATTCAGCGGTTGAAAACGCCTTTCTTTTACATTTACAAGTAAGGTTTCCTGAAATTTTACACCCCCTCACCCCCTCAGGTGCTTCTATTGAAGGTTGAAATTCTAAGATTAATCTTTCCAAAAAAAAACTAGGATATAAGGCTTAACGAAGTATCTTTTCGAATCATGACAATTTTGATGACGCAGACCAGATTGTAGCCATTTTCAGACGCCCTACCTTACGCGGTCACGTCGTGAATGGCTGGCAGACTATGCCCTACCTGCATCGGTGCTTATTATGTCTTTCACAGGGTCATACTGTTTCTCCGATATCGCAAGTGAGCGTCTCTTCCGAAATTTCCATTTGAATCGTGATTGATCAATCTAAGCGTGAAGCACTTTTTTCAGAGGATCGATTCAAATTGCGAGGAGAAGTACCCATAATGCAACCGGCAGACATCTTTTCACTGCCACCATCCGGCTACTTTGTGTGCCTTTTATTAGGATTCTCGCTGTCATTTCTTTTCTTCATGGATCAAAACATTACTTCGGCCATTGTGAACAATCCTCAGAACAAGTGAGTTGGCCCGCCGCTTTCTCATATAGAAAAGGACGGTGAGAAACTTCACCAATCCGGAAAAACATTGGAAGAAACTTACTCGGTGTTTTGGGATAGGGAAGTCTAGCTTTCACCCTAACTTCCATCGCGTGAATTTCCATTATTGCTTGGAGCTGTTCTGTCCATATTTGGTTCATCAAATTTCTAGTATAGTACAGGGGTTATCTTATTTCCCTGTTTCCCAATAACACTGCGAATTCTGTTGATCTGATTGTTCAAAATCGCTTGTTTCAGGCTGAAGAAAGGCTCAACGCAAAACCTCGACCTGTTCGTAGTAGCCCTTCTGAACGTATTTTTGTCGGTATTCGGCTTACCATGGATGCATGGCGCACTGCCACATTCTCCATTACATTTGCGAGCTTTGGCTGACGTTGAGGAGCGCGTTTCACAAGGACATGTGCATGAAGTGTAGGTTATTTCACATCCTTCGATCCAACTGAACAAAGCTGTCGGCGAGCACAGAGAGAAATGATGGGTGGTTTGAAGAGTGGAGAAATTTTTACACAAACAAAATTCCCTCCAACAAATTCAAACGAAGAATTGGCCGTTTCGTTTTATGGTACACTCTAGAAGCTTCCTAGATGTCTATAAGGCGCTCTATTGGCTGCTTTCATATCCCGCCGGCGTGCCGGCGAGCGTGCCGGCGGAGGCAGTGCTAGCGGGGAGGAGGGAGGCAGACAGATAGGCAAACAGTCCACGC